GGGTCACTACTCCAAGAAAATAAAATAGGAGGGTGCAATAAAAGCCAGGACAAACTCGGCAATAATCTTGAAGCCAGGCTCCCTAAAGATCACCCAAAGAGGATCCATTTCTAAATAACATCAAGTTGGAGGGGGAAAAAAAAAAGCGCACACAGTAACTCCAGCGCTTGGGTTTGCAGGTGTTTTGTTTCTGAGATATTGCTCTCATTTGCAATAAGGCTGAGCGTACTGCAGGCTGCTTGGGCTGTCTACAACCAGAAAAGCTCTTCTACGGGGATTTTACAGCCCAACATTTGTGCGAGTGACAGACATCTGTGATGCAGCCACACAAACACCCGTAACACCAACGCAAGCCCTTAATCCCCAACAACCGAGGATGCTCCGTCCCATTTTTACGCTTCAATTCCGCAGCTGCGTGCTCACTCCCGACTCCGGCATTCCTCAAGACGGGGAGCAGGGAAGGGACCACCACCCCAAACACGCTGCAGAGCGCCGGGCTGCCTTCAAGAGCCCTTACTGCTCCGAGGCAGCATCTTCACAATGGATGCTGGAAGCAGCTCTTTAAAATTCAGCAGCTTTTGTGCCTGACCACACGCAGCGACCTCTGGTATTTTCTGCCAAAACAGTTCATTTGTCTCGCAGAACAACTAATCAATTCCTGAGCCCATCAATCACGGGGCGCGCAGCCCGAGCCCGGCAGAGGGGCCAGATGGCGGGCGGCGTTAACGGGATTAATGCAATTCTGACACTGCGCGGCACCCGACGGGCTCCCGGGCGCGCAGGGATAGCAGCCCTCGCGCAGGAGGGTGGGGGGACGGGCTTATGGGCTGTTGCCTGCCGTTTGTTAACGGTTTAGTCCTCGCTCTACGTCCGGTCCCTAAACTTATCCCCAGCTCATAAGTGGGGCCTCCAAGAAAACACAGCTTGCAGGGCACCTCCTCTCCTTCCAAGCGTTGCGGGAAAGGGCAGAAGTTTCTACCAGAAAAGGGCATCTTTCTTACGTGTCCTGCAGTCTGGCAACAATTTAAGCTTCGCCTACCAAGGCCTTGGCGCCATCCCGCCGATTTCACTGCGTTACCCGCACGCTGACGGCTGAGAAACCCTGCTCGGAAGCAGCAAGGTCTGCACGCTGAAAAAGCGCCTGCACAGCAGAGGAGGACTCCTGTTTTAAATGAAAAAGGAAGTGGACATTTGGCAACATTTTTCCCCCCACAGTCTCCATCTGCCAAGTAAATGCTTTCATTTGCTAGAAACACTTGTAAACTGCTTCCTCTTCCCCCCCCCATCTTTTAAAAATATTAAAAAACAACTTTAAAGTTGAATTTCCACTTCCACAGTATTTTTGGCACCTCCCTCAATTTGTATCTCAGATTACACTTATATTGGGTCACACCAGTCTACGTAATTTCACTGTTTATTTACCAGGTTTGTGAAACTGTCATTGTAATTATTTGTCCATGGAGCAACTCAACTACTTCTGCTTTTGCTCAGGTAATAAAACCAGGAAATTGATATAAAGCTTTATAGAAGAGTAAAAAAAAAAAAAACAAAAACCCAAAGCAAACAAAAACAACCCCAAAAGAACCACAAAAAGACACCACTACAAACCACCAATGCTAGGCTGGGCAGTGTGAAATTACAGGCAATTTCTAAATCCCTCCTTCAAGCAGACCCTCCAAGTCCCATCATCTGTCAGCAGCACGCATTATTTTTGTGTAACACCCAAAATGAGATAGGTGATTTACAGAGAAACAAAAAGGCAGACCGCTATGCAACTGCTCCCCATTAGTCACTGGGGGTATTTCAGCTCTTTATTGCCAGGGTTTATTAATGACTCCTAATTGATGAGCAGTGCCCAGCACCCCAAAGGAAATAACTACTATGCCTCGTTAGCTCAAGAGACCTCCTCCTGATTTGAGGATTGATCTATGAACACACAAATTGCACTGATTTAACTGAATTTGTTTCTAAATTGATTTAATTAGATCAGCATAACCTGTTTCTACAGATGCTCTTGAATTTATTTGGAATCAGTGCAATTTACTTATGTGAGCTGGACATTTCTCTATCTTGTCCTCAGAGTAGAAACATTTCAGATAATTAGTGATAACGCAAAATGAACCCTGGCACCATCGCAGTCTTCCAGCTTCTGATCCACCCGACTTTAGGGCAGGGTAGGGTAACTCCACTTTGTCCAACAGTTAAAGGCTCGTACCCTAAAAAACAAGCACTTAATTCCACAAGAGGAGCGTAGGCGTTCTCTCTTAGTATGATCTCTTAACTAGAAAATGCTTACAGCTCGGGAAAACAGAGACTGAAGTGGATTGAATTACAGCCCGATTTTGGCAAGTTTCTTTTAATGCCTGAATTAGGCCCAACATTGACAACTGGGGCAATTAAATAGCCTGCAAAGTTTCTTTTCACAGATCTTAGGCTAAGAGCTTGCACGCACTCAAATGCATGCTGAACTTTCAGCATGGGACTTACTGGTAACCACCAAAGGAGCGAAGTTTTTGCTAGCTCAAGGAATTAAGTTTTCTTTCTCCTTATGCCCCCAACCCAGCTTTCTAGATTGTGCTGTAACTCTCCATCAGCTAACCTTTGCTACTTGCATTCAAGCATCGTAGTATCTACGTGCAGCAGCCAATGAAACCCCCAAGTACAAAGAAGTTCCCAGCTTTTTGTGCAACGCCTGAAAACCTATTACTGTATAATGCCACACATGATTTCCAACTTCGGATCGGTCAAGTGAAAACTTGAACCTGATGACAAAAGCCTAGCGTTCATCTAGAGATGAGGGAATCCCTAGAACCAAAATACAGAAAATTAGTATCTTAATTTTTCCTCCCTACAGAAAATGCTTTGTTTTTCTATTTTTATTTATTTTTCTTTTTAACAGCCTCAGAAAGTCACTTCACTTCTCAGGCAAGGTGGTATTACTAGCAACCCAGTTTACTCTAGGCTCTAGATAAACCTGGAGGCCAAATTAAAGAGCCCTAGTGCCATCCTTCTTCAGTTAACCTACTTGCAGTTCTTGTACCGGTGCAATTTTGCCACTTAGGGCTATGCTTTTAATCATGGTAAACCACACTGAGAAAGTTGAAGTTGTGCAACTCGCATGCAGGCGAGACATTGTGATGACACACACTCACGTCATATCTTGCAATTGAAGACGTTGATGTCTACTAGCTGAGCTGTGTTAGCAGATCATATGAGTGTTTCTATCCTGCTTTAGCAGCGTTAGGAGACTTTATTTAACTGGCTTTCAGCAGCAATCACACTATTCCAGCTATGTCAGAGAGTACATCTGTCTACAGCGTTGTTTCGTAAGGACTAAGGCTATGCTCTACTAGAACACAACCATCAGCGTGCTGCTACACGTGTGGCACACAAAGTATTCCTCATGGCACATTAGGAAAAAAAAGTATTTACAGCTGCAGTTATTTGCAAGTCCTGCATCTGTCATGTTCTCGTGAAAATAAAAACAAAAGCATAAAGAGAAGACTAGTTAAGCCAACCAGGGCAAGCCCTGTTTTCCTGCATACTGTGCTGTATTTTGTGACCAGGAAGGGGCACAGGTGGTACTTGAGACAGCCTCTACTCTGAAAGGACGGTAGAAATCACCGTCTCACGCTCAACATCCAACAGTGGGCAGCACCGATACATTCAACTCTTGAATGAACAGCTCAAACAGGATTTTAACCACGAGGTCAAATTACGAGCTAAAGGACGTTGGCCAAGACCTACACTGGCGATCCAAGGAAGAAAAGAGGAGCTTGCGGCTACTAAAAGTGCCATTTCTCAAGCAAAATGCTAAACAAAGGTCATACCTGCCCACCTTTGGTCAAGGTCCAGGCATAAGTTAAAGATATGTTGACTCTCCTGTGCAAAGCAGAGAGGGCTGGTCCTGGCCAAGCGTTCCATCTCGCTATAAAACGGACTGCAATGCCTAAGGAAGTGCCCGTGCTACTGCCGAGTGCAAAATTGCTGCTGCTTTTGCTTATTCAGAACACAGCTATATCAATTTCTACCTGAGCTCCTTGCAAAGAGCTTGGAACCACCTGCTTATGATTTATTTTTCATTAGTTTGCGACTACAAGTCACTGAAATGCTGTGCCAGAGTTTTAACACTTTGGGAGAATTCCTAGCAAGCTTGGGAATATGTGTGTGTGAGAGTATGTGTAAAAAACAGTGTTTATATTTTAATCTCCTGAGACTAAAATGATGCAAGACATAAAACAAAACAAACAGGATCATATACGCATAACTGAGTGACTGCAACATGACAGCAAACACTGCTGAAAACTTTAGTCTTCTCTGACTATTCATTTTAACTAAAAATATGATGCCGTATTCCTAAAGCTTCTCCAGGCAATCATTTCTGTATTGGACTTAATAGTACACTCATGATCAGTAGTCTTGCATTTACAATGGAACAGGGGGGAAAAAAAAAAAAATCCCCAAACCAAACAGCTGTCCTCATTCAGTAGCTAATGTCACTTACTGCTTGCACCTTGGCAGTTTTTAAATAGCAGCCATTCTAGACCAGTAAGTGCATTTCTGCTATGCTAGCTGCAGAAGCTAAAAAAAAAAATTAATTTGATATAAGGTGCAAATTCTCCCTGAAGGCAAACATTGTCCAATATGAAAACCTCCAGTGAACAATCCTTAATGAATGTATTGGTAAAGAAATAACTATTTGAAAAAGGTAGTGTCTGAAGAGCTTCCTATAAAAAAGCCAATATTACCTTTTTTTAGCCATATAACTGAAAAATGGGAAGCCTTGCCCTCCCCCCACATCTCTCACTAGGGAAAGGTTAGTACCTGGCAATGATACAGGCAGTTATTGATTTAAATGATTATGGACCTGAAAAGTTCTTTCCTGCCATTTATTATCCTGTTGTAGTTGCCACCACACTTGCGTGATATTAAAAAAATGCTTAGCAAAATTGCATCAGAAAAACACTGGTTTTTAACTGAAGTCCAGAGCAGATAATCACCTGATTGTTTCTTCTTGATATAATGAGCTGATAACTGGGCCTCCAAACGCAGTTTTGCTTTCTTTTCCTCTCTTCTCCGTTGTCTGAAACAAAAAGAAAGATCGGTCCAGCATCCTGGCTCTCGCTCCAGACTGTGTCACCCCTTCGCCACCTCCCACACCCACCCCAGCCCCAGTACCCTCTGGAAACCTCCCTGGCACGGGAGGACGCATCCCGTCGCCCTCCGCCCACCCAGAGGAGGCTGGACGCGGCCCTCGGCATCCGAGCCGCTGTGAGGGAGCATAATGTTATGTTACTAGATTGCAAAGCTTGCCTTTATAAATCTATTTAATATAGATTTAAAATTAAATTTTATAATGGGTAGCATTTCCAAATGATTTACTCCCAGGAACTCTAGGATTCGGAATGATTCCCACCATAATAGAAATGAACAATTAGAATAACGATTGATCGATGCAGAGTCTAAGGCCTACCTTTTCGAAAAACAGCGAGCGGATTGGGATCTTCCATTCAAGACACTTACTTTAAATTGATGCCAGATTTTCAGACTGGGGTAAGCACTTGCTATCTGAAAGCCTGACCTCATTGTGGGGTGCTGGACACCAAAAACACTAGTTATCCTAGGGAACCTCAGCTCCCTGTCTTCAGGTAAGTAATTCAAACCGGTTTGCAATTCCCAGCTATATCATCTTACAAAAGCAGCCCACCGAGTGCAATGCGCTATTGTCAGTGGACAGTTTTGTTGCTTTCAGAGACAAGATGTTGCCACGCTCAAGCTGAATAAAATCTGAGAAGCAAAGGAAAAGCCAGCCCACCCTCCAGCCCTCCCTTAGTAGCCGTGATGCATTGCTAAATACCCCAAAATATGTTGTTAGGTAGAATAAGAATTCTACCAAGAAAGATATTGGTTTTTGCTTTTTTTTTTTTTCCTATAAAACATACTTACCATACTTACATTTTTCTTTCTTCCTGCACCCTAAGCTGCTTTTGTTTAAACCAATTTATTTCCCCCCCCCCAATAATACATTTACTTTTACATTCTGCTCAGTTTGAACTAACCAATTCTGCCTTTTAGCTGCTCTGTACTAGGCCAAGATATCTGTACTAGCAGATATCACAGACATAGCTATTTAAAGGCAAAAATGGAGAGGAAATTGGCTTTGAAAACTATTCTATGGCAAATAGTCTTTCTCTAATTTAGAGTAAAAGGTGACACAAAGTTCTCCCTGAAGGGAAAGGGCTTTGAGTCTTCACAGTGCAATGCCCCTCTTAAAAAATTATTTAGCAGAGAACCTCACTGTCCATCAATTATTTCCACACCACTTATGAAGAAAATTAATTTCAGATCATCTGCTATTACATGCAAGAGCTATTCCTATAAAATGAAGCTATACTCACGACGAGTCTATCTTCTTTGATGTTGAGGGACAGTAGTCATTCAACTAGTTTCAGAAACTGCAAGAAGTGTTTAATCTATATTCTTTTCTTTCTTTCCCATGGCAATTTTTGGTGGTTATTTTTTCTCAAAGTCAAAAACAACACTTAAGAAAATACATTTCCTCTTTCTTGAAGCAAAAATTGTAAAAGAGGTTTCTTGCATTAAATTTGCCTCCTTTGCACAACTAATGCATTTCTACCAAAGATTAATTATGTTGATCAAGTACACATAAGGTCATCGAGAAAATTAATGATAAAGCCCTTCCCAAAAATGCTTGGGCAAGAATCTCTCTAGGTCTTAACCTATATATAGGTTACTTTGTCCAAGTAGCTTTTATCTCATCTCTTTTACCCAGAAATAGGTAACTCAATATTCAATTTATGAATCTTGAGCTAAGCTTGTTCCTCCATAGTCCTGTTTATGTAGAATACATTTACGAAAAACGCACCCGAAAAATCTCAGATATCCTCCCAGGATTTAAAGTGTGACTTTTCTCTGTAAGGTCATTAAAAACACCATTGCGGATCCAACTCTCATCACCATCACCACGGGAATTCCCAAGGCGGATCTGCCCAGGCTACAGGGAACGCTTCCTCCCCAGGGCGCTGCAAACTCAGCCCCAAGTCGGATACAAACTGGTTTCCTCCTAGCCACCCCTGACAGCTGCCTGTACCACGAGCTCGTTTGTCCACCTGCAATCTCCACACCCCTGTCTTCCAGGCACTCGCACACAAAAATCCGAGCACCATTTTGCAAACAAACTGGACAACGTAAAAGGCGGAACGAAAGCAGCAGCTCTTTCTAAACCCCGTCATAGCTACTGCACTAACCGGAACCAGTGCTTTCATCTATTGCTCGTGCTGGCTGAAGGGATCTGTAACATCCCTTCAACACGCTCCCTCTCAAATCTCTTGACATTTTTTACAGCGAAAAAGTGCTTTTATCCTGCAGAAATAAAGCAAATGCCATATATATACACAGATGATCACCAGTGAGTTTAAAATCACATTACTCTGAAAACCACAATGAAATTAAAAGCCTGAGAGTGCAATTCTTTTCTCTCCTTCTTTTAAAAAAAAGGCACTAATAATTAACCATGCAGCTCTCAATTAAACCTGCTCTATTTCATTCACTGCTGGCAGCGCTATCTAAAAGCGCTGCAGGTTTGCCTGTAACTAATGATGTTTAAGAAATAACATGATCTCAGGCTCCTATAATTTGCAATCTGAATCCCAGACACAAAACGGCAACAACACCCGGAGTCAGGACTACGTAAGAGGTATATGTGGTAGAAAAGGCAAAAAGTACGAGGAGTTTGAGGTCACCCTCAAACTACCAGATCAAAACTAAGGCAACAAATGTGAGTTTGTAATAAGACAGGAAGAAGCCTTGGAGGACTGCGCCGAGTGCCAAAGCAGCAGTGGCCCCGATGAGATCCACGAAGAGGTGATAAAGAAGTCTAAGAAATGCCTTGAGAGGCACTGAAATTTCCCATGTTTACCTCTAACTCTTGCACATTGATTCTTTGTTGCTTTTTTAAAATTAAGGCCCATATCAAAGTCACTATTATTCTTGACAGCCAACTTCAGTAGGTGGATCTGGTTGACCAAAGCTAGCATAAATCACAAGGAAATAAACGCTTCCGTATGCAGCGTAGGTACTCATTAAGAGACATTTTCAACTCCCCTGACTCCTGATGCATTCACCTACCGGCATGGGGAACTCCACTAAACCCAGAAACTATCATTCTCAAATGTCACCAAGAATTCCAGGAGAAAAGCCACAGTTCTCTGGAAGCGGACAGCAGAGCATCCTCAGTGCTGCCTCAGTACACTGTATTTGTCAATAAAAGACCAGCCTGATTCAAGGTACAATTGGATCCTGACTGCCTGTCACTGACAATGCTGCTCCAGACGGACTCAAGCCTGACAACCACTTTCTGAACAAAACGGGAATACAGGGACTAATATTTGCTAACATCATTAATTCATTTTTTCCTCCACTCCCCCTTCTTCCTTTATGCGTGATGTCAAGACGTATACCTTTAAATTGTTGTCAGCCATAAAAGAGACGTCGTGTCCCAGTTCAGAGGTTAACGTATAATGACAGACACATTAAAAAACCCTGCCCAATGCCTCACTGACAATTTCAGCTCCATCTTCTCCTCAATGAGACAGTAGCTCAAACTCACTTACAAGCTTTAACAACATTAAAGTCTAACCAAGATTGAAAAATAAAGGAGAAAGAAGATAGTTTTACCTTACTAAGCATTATGGAAAAGGAAAACAGAATTACAGAGACAAACATTTATTTTGCAAGGGCCTAGGGTTTGAGTTCACCTTCTGTCTTGGTCTTAAGAGTCTCCAGTGACTGCAGCATGATCCACTTCCCTTCCTGCACTTCTGGGGAGAAGGATAACAATTACCATTTGACAAAGGAGGAGAAGCAGTTCTCTGTCAGAGCTTTGGTTCGGCGGGTTAACCTCTTGCTATATACCTGAAGACAGGCCACAGATGTATTATTTTTCATCTTAGAGCCCAACTATGGTTTCGATATATGTGAAACAGGCTAGCACAGATTTAACAAGACGGCAGTTCCACGGGGCCTTCTGAAGACTCATTTCCAACCCACCAGCCAGAACTCTTCCTAGAGCCGCAAGGGGATTTCCCACTGGCGATTAGCTCTGGGACTGAATTGGGCCTAATCGCACACAACTCCTGTAGACAGAGGGCAAGGAACTCTTTCTGCATCCGACAGAAGCCGTGGCCCAGAGAAGTGCAAAAAAACAAACAAACAAACTTTAAAAAATCCTAATTTAGGAGCACGTTAAGTGTTGGACATCCCAACTTCGTTCAGAGAAAACTGGGAAGTCTGCCTGGTTAGTTCGGCGTACGCAGATACACAACACACTATTTGACAAGTCGCGGGGCTGCGTTACTCAGCCCACCTATCGTGCCACCCTGAGTCCCTCACCTACAAAGTTATACGTCTGTCTCTACCGACACAAACATATTTAAGACAAAAAAAAGGTCACTAGTAAAAGGTTCTTAACATCAAAAGTTTCACTGGCTTCAAAGTTACACTGGCTAAAGCCTTAAAACAGTCAAGACTTAGCTCCGTATTATCACACAGCTTGGAAGCAAAAAAGGTGAGAAGAATTAAACGAGAGCTACATATCAGGCCCACAAACGCGAGACACTGCAGTGCATGGAAACAATTATTTTAGGTCAAGTTCAGAGGATATTTATTACATTGTTTGCTCTTCTTTCTCTGAGCCGGATGAAACTTAAGTCAGAGAAGCAGCAGTACTTGGCTTTATGAGAGGGATACAAGAAATACCGCCCCCCAAATTATTACACTCAAAGTTTTTCTGAAGTGTTTTTTGTAGCAGAGAATACATAGCACAGAGACTTAAACCAGCATTTATTCTGCAAGTGCCCCCAAATTCACCTTGCAGCATCATCAGGAAGAATGAGTGAGAAGCGGCGTCTGCGCGAGACACGCTCCTCCACTTATGAACACGGGCCCCTTGCAGGATTCAGCGTTGCGGCCCTGAGACAAACTTTACCGTGCTCCAAAGCAGCTCCACCGAAAGGTACTAGCTGCTAGTGTCACGGTACCAGCACCGCAGGAGACCACGGAGAC